TAATGTAAATAAGAAACACATAATGATTAGTAGAGGCCGATCTTTGATCAGGCAAGTGAGGTGCTCAATTCATGACCTTCCTCTCTCGTACCTAAGTTTCTGAGTCGAGACACTTTGGTGATGACAAACTAATGACCTTTGGCACGAGTGTCGGGTTTCTTAAAATTTTCAAAATATTTAGGTGGCGACTCTGAAATTTGGCAAAGCAATCCATTTTTGGCATTTGTTTCAAACATCAATTTTTCAAAAAGAATTTTCGGATTTGGACTCTTTTTGTGTTTTCACTGTTTCACATTGCACTTGTGAAATCAGATTCAGAACCACAAGTGGAGTCCGAACTGTAGGGCTATTCGCCTTTGGAAAGGAGTGCAAAAAGTCGAGCTATAGTTTCTGGCGACTCTGCTGGGGAATTAGAGAACTTGACTTGAAATTCATGATGTGAAATTTTATCTACACTTATATGTTCTTTGCATTGCATTTGCATTAGTGCGCTTAAGTCACTGTGTTTGCCATCTGCTATTCTTGGACGGTTTGCCGGAGGCTTGCCTAAAAGCTTGCCAAAAGGCTGACCTGTCACGGGCTCAGCCACGATGGGAACACAACCCTTGGATCTGGACTACCGCTGTACTGTTTGATCCTCCTTTGAATTCTCGGTGTTAGGTGTGAGAGGTATATTAGGTAATCTTGCCAAGGTACCCTTTTGACCATTTGACCTAGTTGCATATAGTGAAACTATAGTGACTATTCCAATTTAGGACATGATGCCACCCATTTGTAGGATGTTGTGAAACCCGTTGTGTGAAATAGTGTGGCCTAGATCATGCCAAAAATCTAGGACAGGGTAACCTTACCTCCTTATAGGGGTGTTTTGGTTCTTTTACTTGATATATGCTTTTATAATGAGACTGTACAGGATGGTTCATATCAGTGAGGTTTGAAAACAGAATTCGATGGGGATTACAGTTCAGCTATGTGTCTTGACTGTTGTGAATTGGAGCCGAAGTGCTGTCCGATTTTGATTTTGATTTTGTTTTTCTTTCTTTCTTTTTGCTAGGTAGTTTACCATCATAGCTTCAGAAAGACCTGATATTTCCCAAGTTGTGTGGACTCGTTTCGGCAGGCTGTACAAAGCTTGAGACCTTGTTGGTGGTTAGCCCGTGCTAGTCTCGCTTCCTTCAGTCACTCGACGGAGAAGAAACAGATGGCCAGTAGTATCAGTACAAAGCACCCCACAAACACCTACCCATTCTCAGTTGATCAATTTACTAGCATCTAGTTCACCCTGGTTAGCAATGGCACAGAGCACAGCACCAAACGTAGAGGAATTCGCTGCCATGATGATTGTCGTCCAAAGGACTATGGATACTGTAAACCAAAGGATGGCTGCACAAGGTGAAGTCATTGCTGATCTATGGTGTACATCTAGGACAACAGCATCAATCGTGCATCCGGTTCCTGTTGCTCAGCCAAACCTGGATCCACCTCCACTAGCAGAAAATCTACCAGTCCCAGATCCTCAGGACATGTTACCTCCAGCTCCAGCTTATTGTCCATCGGTTCAACCTCCTCCAGGGATTTTTCCTTTCGATATCAATGAAATTGATCCAGCTTTAGTCAAGATCGCTAGATTGAAGAAAGCATTGAAGAAATCCCAGGGCTTCAACTCTATTACAGATATCGAAGACGGGTACAATGAAGCTTCAATCAAGTTACTAGAGAAATTTAAAATGCCCCACATCGACAAATTTAATGGGAGTGGGGATTCAATCGCGCATGTCCGGTTGTTTTCGAATGTATTGAGACCCATGGGTTTGTCTTAGGCGCAGAAGCTTTCGTTGTTTGGAAGGACCCTGTCTGATGTAGTGGCCATTTGGTACGCTAAATTGGAGGACTCTACAAACGAAATTGGGAGGAATTATCTGAGGGATTTGTCAATCAGTACTCATATAACACTCAGATAGAAGTAACCATTAGCGAGCTAGAGGCTACAACCTAGAATCCCAAAGAATCGTTTATTGATTTTGTCGCCCGGTGGAGAGCCAAAGTAGCTCGAATGACAAATAGGCCTGCTGAGAGGGAACAAGTCCAACTAGTGGTCCAGAACCTAGAGCCAGACATACTGCAAAAGAATGATAGTGGCACCGTTGTCCACGTTTGCTTCCTTACATGAGCTGGGGGTCTAGATCGAGAGTGCATTCAAAAAGGGTATCATCCACAGAACCAGCGAACCCGCAAGAAGGCCGTTCTCTCAAAATACCAATGCTAGCAGTAGTACTATTCTGCAACCTGTGGATGTTAGTAATGTCGTCACAATGGCCAAGATGGCTGATCCTTTTGCTACTGTCACAACCTCACAGCCTTCATAAAATACTGGTCCACCCCAAAATCGTAGAGTCTTTACCCCCCTCCATATGAGCCCAACTCAAGCCCTCAAGTTATTGATGCGAAATGGACATCTCAAGCCTCTCGATCCTCGACCACTTCCAAACCGATTGCCACCCAAACACGACCCTACCCAGTATTGTATCTTCCATTAACAACATGGCCATCCCACAGACATGTGCTACCGTCTACGTCATGAGATTCAGGATCTCATTGACAACAAAGTCATCGCCCCACCCGCAAAACCAAACGTAACAACCAACCTGCTCCCTGTACATAACCAAGTCCTCCTGCCGGAAACATTAACCACATCCATACATTACCACCCACCTTCAATCCCAGTGTATACATTACCTTATCCCACCTACCAAAGCCGGAGGTGGTCATTCCAGAAGGCACAGACACGTACATGATGGATTTAACACCACAAACCCCACCCAGGCTTATGGCAGTAGAGCTAGAGAAAAAAAAGAATGCATTGAAGACAGGGCCGCCTGATACCCATGTCATAGAGAAGAGGGTCTTGCTTGCGGAGGAGTACGATCCCAGCTTATACATTGTGGCCATCGATTAGCCAAAGCTAGCGGTCATACTGTCGGATCTTCTTAACATTAATGCTATTGGGGAAGACCAAATGGCACAAAATTAGAATAAGTGGCCCGAGCAAGGCCTGTATGGCTTAGCAAACCTAGAGGAGGATCTGGAGGATCATTACTTCTTCGAAGAAGAAGACACAAGCTATGTACAGATGGTATGGTGGGATCCGAGTCAGCCAGAAACTAGCAATGGGTGGTTGAGTGAGGAAAAGTTCGATGTAGAGGAACAGACATAGGAGACTGAAGGAGAATAAGAAGTTGCCGTTAAGGATAAGGCTGAGGCTGCACCTCATACTGAGAAGGAATAGGCATTGGAACAGTTTTAAAAGGAAATGATAAAGGAAATCCGAGCGAAGATAGCTTTGGAATAAGGCAAAGGAAAAGGGAAAGAATAAGCTGAGTCCATAACCGGCAGTGTTCAAACCACTAAGAAAACAGAATGGGATCCCAAGGACCGGAAGAAGATGTTAAGGAAACTCAGAAAATACCAGGATGATGAAACCCGAGCTGTAGTGGAAGAAGAATGGTATGATGACAGGGTGCGTGATGTTAATATGCTTCTGATAGAACCCAATGCCAGTCCGGTCATGACTGCAGGAGAGTGGTGGGAAGATAGCGACCTGAGTCACGCATACGCGGACGAATGATGGAAAGCTGATACCCCAGATGACACTTGGTATACCGATGAGATCAATCACATGACCTGGAGTGGTCGGTACTTTAAACCCATAACGTTAGACCAGCCGAAAACCTCTGAAAAGGAGGTCGAGAAAGCAAAAGAGAGGGATGTGGAGGAGAATATGGTTTTAAAACAGCTCAAGAAAATTTAGGCCAACATATCCATCTGAGAACTGATAATGGTGTCTCGGGAACACAGATAAGCCTTGCTCGAAGCAATGAACCGAACCAAACTGCCCATTGACACCACCGCTGACCAATTGGTGTCGTTGGTCACCTCTGGGGACGTTATGCTAGCAATATCCTTTACGGATAAAGAATTGCCTCCCGAGGGCGCCAACCACAACAAGCCTTTGTATGTAACCTTGGAAAGTGGAAACAAGTGGATTTCGGTGGTATTAGTAGATACCGGGTTGGCGATCAATGTGTGCCCAGTGAGAACTACCTATGCCATCGGTTTGAGGCCGATTGACTTTACACCTACGACCCAAGCTGTCCGAGCTTATGATAATACAAGCCGGGATGTCATGGGAACGTTCAAGAGCAATATCCTGTTTGGCCCGTCCGAACATGAAGTGGAATTCCATGTCATGGATATTTCGACCACATTCAACCTACTACTAAGAAGGCCCTGGCTCCATTAGATGAAGGTTGTGTCATCAACAGTCCATCAGTTAGTGAAGTACCCCTTTAAAGGCGGGATTGCCATTGTGTACGGTAACTCTGCAATCCATCCTCTCCAAGGAACCACTAAACCACTACTAGAGATCATACATGGGGAAGAGGACGTGTTCCTCTCCGATTTCTCTTTGGTAGAAGCTCAGTTGGTCCAAACCATCACGGTAGAGGGCGATGGAGATTATGTGAGTGCGCAATCCATATACATGATGAACAAACAGGGGCATATGCCCAGGTGGGGAATAGGCCGAAGTGGCAGGCAGGGAGGTACTGTTGCTAAGAAGCTGAGTCATAACCCCCATGCTTTCAGGCTGGGATACAAACCTACCGCTTCAGATTGGCAAAGGAAAGGGCAGGAGTTGAGAGAGAGGCTAAAGGCAAAGAAGACTGGGAAGCAGTATGAGTTAGTCCACAAACCTATACGGGGAACCCTGAACCGACGTTTCATCTGCCAAGGGAAAGATTTCCCATTTTGTGGATTCCTAGAGCCCTGGTATGACTGGGAAACAAAGACTAGGTATCCGGGGTTCGAGATCTTTTTCGGGCACCAGTTACTAGAAGGGAGGATAAATAGGAAAACCTAAGCACTGGTGCAGATCAAGGAAAGACTGCAAACCTAGGCATTGAAGAGAAGAGTTGCTGGGAAAAGCACTGGCTGACTTACTAATGAGTTCCATTGCTGGAGCTGAGACCACCAACTTAGGGGATAGTTTTACTATCTCAATGATCGGGGATACCCCAACAGCAGATTTCTCCAATCTTATTGTGGATGCATCTGAGCCTCCACGCCTGGTCTGCAAGTTCGAGCAAGCGTCATCAACAGTTCTGAATCGGATAGTGAGTCCGGACCTAATTCCACTAAGTCTGTGGAGTTGGGGACAGATTCGAGTTCCTCTGAGTCTGGTACTTCTGGGAGTGGTAACCCAGATGCCAAAGTCCTATCCAGGTCATCTTTTAGCTTTTCCTTTGAGTCCACTATAACCGAGGACCCTAACTTTTTGAATGGGAATGCTGTAAATGTTGTCTACTTCTCTGTGACTTTGGTTTGTTGTACTGATCTTAATTTTCAAAATTTTGACATAAACGAAGAGGAATAAATTCCTCGGGTTTTGAAAAATTTGGTTGATCATGAGGAGGAGAGGTGTGTTAAGCCCTGTACAGATGAAATTGTATCAATTAACGTGAGTACTGAGGAAAATCCTCGCTTGGTCTAGATCAGGTCCACGTTGTCTTCGGAGGAACGCGAGCATTTAATCGCTTTATTAAAAAATTTCAAAGATGTTTTTGCGTGGTGCTTTGAAGACATGCCTGGAATCGATCTTGAGATTGTACAGCATCGGATCCCTCTTGACCTCGAGGCCCAGCCAGTTAAGAAAAAGCTACGTAGAGTTCACCCAGATTGGGCTTTAAAGAATAAGGAAGAAGTCACCAAACAGATTGAGGCAGGATTCTTGCTTGTATCTAAATATCCGACGTGGTTAGCCAATATTGTTCCAGTTCTTAAGAAGGATGGCAGAATCAGAGTTTGTGTCGATTTCAAGGATCTGGATAAGGCTAGTCCGAAGGATGATTTTCCACTGTTGTATATTGACGAGTTGCTAGACTTCACTGCAGGCCATGCATTGCTCTTGTTTATGGACGGGTTCTCGAGGTATAACTAGATTTTGATGGCACCAGAGGATAGAGAGAAGAGCACTTTCACCACTCTGTGGGGCACCTATTGTTACTGAGTCATGCCGTTTGAACTGAAGAATGCTAGGGCCACTTATCAGAGGGCTGTAACTACCATTCTGCATGACATGATCCACAAAGAGGTTGAGGTGTACGTGGACGATATAATTGTCAAGTCCAAAGATCGAGAAGGCCATTACACCGCCTTGGAAAAATTCTTTCCGCGAATCAGAGAGTATAAATTGAGGTTGAACCCGCAAAAAATGCACTTTCGGCGTAATAACAGGAAAAATGCTGGGATTCTTAATCACACAGAGAGGAATTGAGGTAGATCCTTCCAAAATCAAGGCCATCTTAGAAATGCCACCACCAAGGACTGAAAAGGTGGTGCTGGGCTTTCTGGGTAAAGTGCAATTCATAAGATGGTTTATTTCAAAATTAACCTTGACCTGTGAACCACTATTTGGTCTTCTGAAGAAAGGAAAGAAGTTCTAGTGGGATGATCGCCGTCAGTTCGCTTTTGAACAAGTCAAGCAGTACCTGTAGAATCCACCTGTGTTATCATCGCCAGAACCGGGAAAAACATTGATCTTGTACCTGTCAGTGACAAACTCAACCATGGGGTGTATGTTAGCTCAGGAGTCAGAGGCCAAAGTGGAGAAAGCCGTTTATTACTTAAGCAAGAAAATGCTAGGTTATGAGACCCGTTACACTCCCCTTGAGATATCTTGTCTAGCCTTGGTATGGGCTACCCGGAAATTAAGGCACTACTTGTTAACTCACTCTGTAATCCTGGTTTCGAGATTAGATCCCATCAAATATCTCTTTGAGAAACCAAAACTTATGGGTAGGCTAGCACATTGGTTGCTTCTTCACTCCGAATTTGATCTTATTTATGTTACATGCAAGTTTGTTAAAGGGAGAGTTGTAGCAAAATTTCTGGCAGATCACCCAGTAGAAGGGGATGAAACGGTGGAGTACCTTTTCCTAGATGAAGATACTCTGCAAATAGAAGAGAGAATGTGGATGATGTACTTTGACGGAGTAGCCAATCAATACGGTTATGGGATCGGTGTATTGCTGATAGCACTTGATGACTCCTATTTATCCTTAGCCTTCAAACTTTGATTCAAAGTATCCAACAACGAAGCAGAGTATGAGGCATGTATCGGTCGTTGAGAAGCTGCCCTGGAACTAGGGGCAAAAAGGTTGGACATCATCGGGGATTCAAACTTGGTTGTGTCTCAAGCAAATGAAGATTGGTGAGTTAAAGAAGAGAAAATGAAAGTTTACCATCAGGTCTTGAACATGCTGATTCCGAGGTTTGAGAAGTTAATGTTTACCCACTTGCTAAGAGAGAATAACCAATTCGCTGATGCACTAACAACTCTATTTTCCATGGTAGACATTCCATTGGGAGTCAGGATATGTCCAATCATTATTGAATAGAAGTACATGATGACCTATGAAACCATTGCTGCGATAGATGAGGCTTCAGACAATAACCCATGGTATTATGATATCTGAAATTTCCTAGAAAAGGAGGCGTATCCGCTACGAGCAAATGCCAAAGACAAAACGGGAATACGGCACCTGGCCATTCGATTTATCATCTGCGGAGGATAGTTGTACAAAAAATATCTTCTGGGAATGCATATGCTATGTGTCGAGGAAGAAGAATCAAAGCACCTCATGGAGGCCATTCACGGAGGAGAGTGCGGAGCCCATATGAACGGTGTGATGCTCACCCGAAAAATCCTTAGACTAGGCTACTGCTAGTCAACCATGGAGGAAGATTGTATATGGTTTTGTTCGACGCTATCACAAATGCCAGATTCATGCTAATCATATGAACATTTTGCCGTCGAAGTTTTACAACATGACATCATCATGGCCATTCTCTGTTTGGGGGATAGACGTTATCGGCGCAGTTACACCAAAAGGGTCAAACAGGCATGAATTCATTCTGGTAGCAATCGATTACTTCACGAAATGGGTAGAAGCCCAGTCTTACTCTATACTGAAAGCAACGCATGTGGCTAAGTTCATCAAAAACAATATCATATGCTGGTATGGGGTGCCCAATGAAATTATCTTCGATAATGGAATGCACTTCAAGAAATAGGTGATAGATTTGCTCGAAAAATATAACATAGCTTTCCATAAGTCATCAACCTACAGGCCGTAGACTAATGGGGCTGTTGAAGCTGCTAACAAGAATATCAAAAGAATTCTGCAGAAGATGGTGGAAACCTATAGAGACTGGCCAGATAAATTTCCATTTGCGCTCTAGGGCTACAGAACCTCAATTCGAACATCTACAGGGGAAACCCCCTATTCTCTTGTCTACAGGATGGAGGCTGTTTTGCGGATCGAAATTAAAGTGCCCTCGCTACGAATTATGGCTGAGTGTCTGATAGCAGAGGCAGATTGGTAGCAAAGTAGGTTTGAGAAATTGATGTTGTTTGATGAGAGAAGACTAAGAGCATTGTATCATGTCTAGGGCTACCACCGTCAAATTGCTAGGGCTTTTAATATAAATCTGCCCTGTTCTTAAAGTCTGGGCTGCGTGTTCAGAAAATTTGAAGTTTGGGCTGAGTGTTCAACTTTCTATCAGTGTGGGCTGCGTGTTCACTATTTAATCTGGGCTGCGTGTTCAGAAAATTTGAAGTTTGGGCTGCGTGTTCAACCTTCAGTTTAAGTGTGGGCTGCGTGTTCACTATTCTAATATGGGCTGTGTGTTCAGAAAATTTAAAGTGTGGGCTGTGTGTTCACTTTCGAATTCGGGTTGTGTGTTCGACAAATCAGTGTTTGAACCGTATGTTCACCTCTCAACTAATGTGGGCTGTGTGTTCGCAATTAATTAGTGAGCCAAGTGTTCAGAAATTCGAGTGTTTAAACTACATGTTCAGGATGCAAGCAAAGTACTATGTCATGAGCTAAACTGCGTGTTCAAGCATGACAAAGGTGTGAAATGTACGAAAAATACAGAAAATGAAGTAAATACCTCTCGGGCCTCATGAGAGAGGTGATGCTCCGGCTCTCGGAGAAGCAGATCCCCGGGTGCTCGCTCGTCAAAGCTAGTAAAGTGACGGAAGGCAGTACGAGGGAGGACATGTGCTGGCGGACGGTACCTCCCGGGAATAAAAGGTCGAGTCCTCGAGGGCAGGGTCACGGGATCAAAATCATCTCCGGCACCTGGAAAACCTCCGCCGTGGGGAGAATTACCCGCCATTTTCAGAAGATCTGCAAAAGGGAGCAAAAATGAGCAAAATGAGCCAAAATTGAAAAAAATCAACAAAAGTCAACTCTCGGGAAATAAAAAGTCAACAAAAGTCAACCCCCGAGAAAATCTTCCAAATGTTGAGACAAATTTACCTTAGATGGCGAAAATGCGAAAAGAAGCTCCGAAACCGAAATTTAATCGCTTCAAAGTACTTGAAACTGAATGTTTTTGCGAAAACAATTTGCGCGGGGTGTTGGAAAACGCGCATAAAACTCAGATCTGGAGAGGAAAGTAGAATAGGAGGCAAGAAAGGGGAAAGTCTCGGCTGCCTTATATAGGCCCCAAGTCTTGGATTGAAGGAGCATCAAAAAGGAGGTGAAAAGACCAAAAAGCCCCTGGATTTGGGCATATGGCCGGCCGGCCCTCTTTTCTAGCCGGCCAGCTATCTGCTTTTTGGATAACTGGCCGGCCAGCTATTTGTTTTATGGAAAACAGGTTGGCCACCTCCCCCTTTCCCTATAACCGGCCGGCCATGTTCCTCACAGGCTCACCTAGCTCCCTGCAAATTTTGAGGAAGATCGGAGTTCCCGGGACCTGAAAAAGTTCAAGGAAAGTACACTTCCGGTCGCGAAATTGCTCCGTCGGAACTTCGGTTTCGAGATCTGACATGTGTCTCATCATCATTCATCAAAATCAAAGTGTATCCTTTTTGAATGAGTTGTAACCTTTCAGGGAAGCGGATCAGAGGCCGTAATTGAATCGCCTTCGCCGAAACGCGCATTTCTGTACTCGTTATTTCATGACAAACGGACGCCCTGATTCATGCTCATGTCACATTATCTTGCATTCTCATGAGCATGCCTGCATTAACGTGAACATTTCTTGATATTGGCATACCTCTATACTTGGGCATGCGTTGTCACGCATGTTCCACTCTTTCATTGCGATGCATTCACTCACCGGCACTGTGTGTGTCGAAATTTCGGAATCACATTGGATATATAGCATATTGTACTTGTTGCAATTTCTCTCTTTTGCAGGCACGATATTGTTTGTACGGTTCAATTAAAGCTGGTGCGACCAGACGAATCGCGCAGGTATCGTAGCTTCTCCGTGTGAGATGTGGCGGGGATTGAATAATCCTCCGCATTCTTAACTGCACGAAATGTAGTTGTTGCTTTGCATTCTTGCTTAAAACTGTTGCATCTATTTGCGAATACTTGCTTCATTACAGCTTGCTACATTTGTTGCGTGTTCAACTTTCAATCAATGTGGGCTGCGTGTTCAC